TACGTACGTTACGTACGTACTACTACGTACGTACTATATATATATATATATATATATATATATATATATATATATATATATATATATATATATATATATATATATACTCCACCATGATACCCGGGTACCCGGGGCAACCATATTCCCGTAGGGATATGATCCCCCCTACGGGGTAATCATACGAAACTTTAGTATGGGTTGGAGTGCTTGCTCTCGTAGCCGGTCATCTGTCTCATATCCAACATCTCATCCACTTGACGAAGTTTCCGGCGGCGTCATTGTAGTGATCCACGCTTACCATCAGTATACTTTTGATTCCAATCCTTTTCTTTTCTAGTTGAATAGTTAAAATATCTGAATATCTAGTCTACTGGGTATAATACTATCATATATATATATAGAGATGTGTAGGTGTTTGTGTACGTATTTAGTCTTCAAATGCTAGTCGCAGCTTTATTTTGCTGTATAATTTTTTGGAGATCGAGATATTCCTGACCTTTCTACTATTATACCTATGCGTATATATCCTGATGTCAATAAACTGCTCTGACTATCGTTTTAACTCGTAACAATCACTCCGCGACAGAGTGTTTACCATGTAGTGGTTTACTATACTTATGTCACACTCCATCATACATGCACTCAAATCCATCGCAGGTATTAGCATCGCTGGTGATTCGCTTGGCCCTTGCGGAGACCTTCTGCATTAACTGCGGTATCATTGCTCTTGATGAGCCCACGGCAAATCTGGATAAGCTCAACCTCAAGAACTTTGCCGAGTCACTGAACAAGTAGGTGTACAATATGATATATGTAAGCTCATCGGTGCACGTGTAGATGTAGGTGTTTGGGCTGTGTATGTGTCTCTGTCGATGTCTGTAAGTGTATATATTTGTGTATATGTTTGTGTATGCGTAACTGTAATATTCCAATTCGTAGAACCTACAGCAAAACTGGATAAACTCAGCATAAAGCACTTTTCCGAGCGTTTGAACAAATACGTTCGTATATATGACATCAAATCAGCTAAGCTCGATCTGAAAAACTTTGCCGAGTTACCTAGCAAGTACGAGCATATATATAGCAGGCACATGGCTGTCTGTGTTTGTGGCCATAGCTGTCTCTATGTATGTGCGTGTGTACGGCTGTGTTCATGTCTGTACTGTTCTATGTGTGTGTACTATTGCGCTCGACGAGCATGCAGTAAAACATATATCTCATTCAGTTGAGGACCAACACCAAACAATTACGTCCGTATTTTGGTGTAGACATCAAGTAACCGCGCCAGAACGTACTCTGTATGATAAAATATGACTCCAACGAGCCTTTGCCTATCATTTTTTTTGTCTGGGGGTTTCTGTGTATATTAGTATATGTAAGTGACAGTGCTATGTCAGTATCTGAACCTTTTGCTGACCTCGGGTGGTGCAGGACTGCATCTCTGTTGAATGCACGTAGACGTTGTATGTGCACGCGCAGAATAGACACACAGTGTGCGATGATGCACTTGTGAAGATATGTGAGAAGACAGAAAATGTACTGCAAAAGATATGTGCATACTCCAATATGTATGTTTATGTGTGGGTGGGTGTTTTGGAATTAGCACTTGGGATTATGCATAGCACAGAAGTGAAAGTTCAGCTCATTCGTGAACATGCAAAAGTGTTATTCATATATAAGATTACTCACTCCATGGACTTTAGCATCATCGACACCCGGAGGAGGCAGAAAAACTTCCAGATGATTATCATTACACACGACAAAGACTTCCTGCAAGTGATTGGACAGTACCAAAAGATTGAGAAATATCTGAAGGTTTACCGAGATGAAAGGTATGTATCGATCTGCACACCAACAGATGGTGGACTTAAATATATATATGAAAATAGACTCAAAGCTGCGATTGCAAATGTGGGATTTGTATACGTGTCGTGACCTATCATCTATTTTCTCGTTTTTACGGATTGTTGAATGCGGTCATACGATCGGTAAGTGCATACACACGATACATATATATATAGATACAGATATAGATAGTTAAATGTGTGTGTGCGTGTGCGTGTGTGTGTGTGGTGGTATATATATATATATATATATAGTGTGTGTGTGTGTGTGTGTGTGTGTGTGTGTGTGTGTGTGTGTGTGTGTGTGTGTGTGTGTGTAGTGCATGTGTGTGTGTGTGGTGCTGTGTACATGTGTGTGTGTGTGTATGTGTATGTGTTTGTGTTAGTTCGGGCGTACGTGTGTGTGTTGAAACCTTTGACTTCGAGTAATTTTCCAGTGACTACTCTCGAAGGTCGCTGTGCAAGCATAGTGGTGGTCTTCATTCATGTGTACATACTACTTGTTACTTGTTGTAGCCTAACACAGCTATCAATTTATATCGTCCCCGTTCACACCACCCGCATCTTTTTGTATTTTCTTTTCCATTACACCTGCAGACAAAAAACTAAAGTGGTCGAGGCGGATCTGTGGGAATCTTGAAGTTGGCACTATACTGCCCTACTTGCCTGTCGCAGGATAGACCTTCTGCACCCATCTGTGTGTGCGTGAGTCAATAACGCATCGGCGCGCTTACATATAGATGCACTCATGTGTGTGCCGTGTACGTGTACGTGCTCGAGCAAGTACAAACACAGCGTGTAGCACGGAGCATCCTTACAACTGCCCACTCGTACACGCATCTCCCCAAGTCGGACACTCTGCCGCGAAGAAAGTAGAGACATAACTATGACCTTGCTATCGTCACCATGCATGCAATACTTGAATACCTACACGCACAAGTACATACAGAATAGCCAATACTGAACCAATCTACCTGCATACACGCACGTTCGTGCGTGTATGTGCGTGTGTACGTAGGCAAATACACCTACAAAACGCGTTGTACAAGCTCTGCGGCAGTCGAAGGCCGGATGAGAGTTAATAAAGCTGTATAAAATACAACACACATACGCGCCATGAGAACTTAGTGGATATCTTAGACTACCATGTGCTGGCGCTCCATGTGGCACTTTCACAGAGCCACACTATATCCAACAAACTTAAAACAATATGCGTTGCTGTGGTCACACTGTGTGATGCATGTGAGGATTTGCCCAAGAAGATAGTCTGTTCTGAAGCAGCCGAGTATATCATGATGGTCAGCTGGGAAGGCTTAGAGGCGTTCAGCAAATTGGTGTACAAGCCATCGGTGCAATTGACTGTGCGGTGTTGGTGACAACTTTGACCTACGAGGTGTCTGCAGAAAAGCCCACATATCTACCTGGCATATCTATCTCACATCCCACAGAGAAGTAGGGGGCAACCAACCCGCACGAGTGAGATAATGCATTCATAGTACAGTGTGTCCGTGGTGCATAAAAGCACATGCATATATCTCACGAGACTGGCGCACCCGTCTGTGAGCTTTCGCGGACAGATAAATTTATAATCGTGTCAGGATTCAGAAGCTATTTGATTTTCCGCTCTCGTATGGGATTTACTAGTTACCTTATGTACATGCATGTTTCAGTGGAAGAGATGATCATCAACCGAAGCATCTGTACTGTTAAGTTCTGGCGGCACAGTTTTTGACTCAAATTTTGTTTAAACAAGAGGGCTGCCTCCGTCCACACATCTATGATATCAAAACATATCGGCAACAGAGTCTTTTTCCCATCCTGCGTGCAGCAGTCTTTAACCTGCCTGCTGAGCTTGGGTCAGTTGGAATGATTCTCGTGACATTGCTGGACCGATCGTTGTTAACCACGGCTTGTAGTTTTACATTGTACAATCATTCAATGTGACAATACACAATCGAAGGCTCCCTGAATCATGTGCCATATTCACATTCACTTCAAGTAAACATAGCCCGGTATGAAACATCGAATTGTTTCACGAAGCACCGTGCTCAACGCCCTAGTGACAATGAATAATACAGCTGTCTTTATTGGTAGGATTATAAGATAGCAGTAGGTTTCGGCAAGATGTTTTTGGCAAGGAGTGACCGGAGACGAATTAACAAAATGGAGAGTGCCCGGAAGAAGCGATCACGAGGATTACGTGAATATTAGGCATGAAATATGCACGTTTTAGGTGTACATATTTCGTCATCTATAAAGGGTGCGTATCAGATCTTTATTGGCACACGATATAACGATACCTATTAGTTTCTGAGAATCGAGTTCGTTTATAGCATTCTCTAGAGACCTAAGAGAGATCCTCCAGAGGTCACGGTATGTACATCGCGGCTTTGAATAATCCGTGATGTTTTTTTGTTGTATTAAAATTATTTTTTTTAATTATAGAGACTATTATTGACCTTTTATGGTAACTAAACAAGCTTTGATGTATTAGATACTGTCATATAATTGGTTCCAACTGTTTACGCGGTCAAAATATTCATCTGATATGTCATTGCCTCTCCAAAATCGAACCCTATGGATGTGTGTATTTATGTGTGGTAATTAGTAGCACCTGTATATTACAGTCGAAATGCATATGTTTGTAGAGAAGGCCGCATGCCCTATCTATGGGACTTCTCTATGAAGTATTCTCTGCAGAAGTTGTTGTACGACAGGCTTTTGCAAACAACGCTGTAGTTTGTCACGAGATAACCCCTCTCGAACATATTATAATTGATATAGGTATAGAAATCGGGGATATTTTATATGGACTTCCCCCTTGCTCATACAACTAAGACTGTTTGTGCTCATCCTTAGGGCTGCACTCAACTTTAAATCGCAATCACACACATAAATTGACCTCGAGGATACCCCCGTTCTCTGAATCATTTTTTGAGACTGTCATCACTGGGTGGGTCTTTTAGATTTCAGGGTGTTCAACATTGATATAGCGTCAGCGATAAGTAATCTATAGACCTTTCTTAGAGTCAAATATATCTTTAGCGGCTGGCCGATCGCTCGTATACGAAGTAAATAATCACACACTCCGTACCCACATCTCACAAAGACATATCCCCGACTGCGCCTTGAAATATACCGCAAATATATACGCAACGCATGCACAGACCCATACAACCGCAGGCATATTATACATACTCATAAAACCAGGTATATATGCTATTATACATACTCATACAACCAGGTATATATGCTATTATACATACTCATACAACCACGTACATATACACACATTTCAAAAGTAATTCCACAATATGTCGTCATGGCAACTGACGCTACGGCAAACACTGACGGCAAATTCCAATGCGATCCGCTTCTCTGCGCGGATGGGCTTGCTGACCTTGAGTGGTGCGATGTTTGCGCTCGTCCCGTTATTGGCGCAGCTCGAAGCGGGACCCACCGAATCTGATTTGACGTGGATCTTCATCACTTGTGTAATAGTGGGGTCCAGCGGGGCGATCTGTGGGGTGGGTATGGTCAAAGGCTTCGATAGGGCGATTGGTACAACGTTTGGTGCCGTCCTGGCGATAGCCTGCGATGTGGTAAGCAGCTACTTGGGGAAATTTGCTCCGTACTTTGTGGGCGTGTGTATCTTTGTTTACTGCACGACGGTGTTCTTCATGATGGAGAAGCACAAGGCGGACCTGGGTGTACACACGTACGCGCTGATGCTGAGCTCGTTGACGTTCGGGTTGGTGCTGTTGGACTCGTACAAGATAGAGACGGGGTATGTATGGAGGGCGGGGGTGTGGCGCACAGCGTGTATATTCATAGGCTGTGTACTCTCTCTGTTGTTCATAGCGTTCTTCTTCCCCATACGGACCCTGGCCGTGGTGCATGATACGTACTGTGTGATCCTGCGCCAAGAGGCTGACTTACTGCGGGAAATCATCCACGCGCGCGCCCGGGGTGATGTGAAGCACAGTCTGCGGAGTATCATATACGAAGGCAAGGACGATGATAGCATACACAAGAAGTACATCAATATAACCGGCAAGATAACCGCCATGTCGGCTCTGATTCCCAATGCTCAGTGGGAGCTGGCGTACTTTTCTCTCGACTTTGACAGGCGGCGACTGGGTGACCAGCGGAGCTACCGAGTGCTGAGTGCGCGGTTGCGAAGGCTGGCCACACATGTGATCTGCATGGACGAGCAGTTGCGCATCAAACCTACCCCACTGCCACCCAACGCCCGCACAGCAAGCAAACTCGTGCGAATAGGCAACCACATACACGACCTGCTAACACTGATCGCGCTCAAGCTGGAGCGTGTGGGCCGGGTGAGCGAGGGACCCGCGGCGGTATATTTAGAGTCAAGTGTGTTCCACCTGCAGACAGGCTCTGTGCGTGAGTCGCAGACGGCACAGGCCACTACCACGACTACGTCTGCGCCTGCGTATGTGCAGGGTATGGCGCCCACTCACGCACAACCACCTACCGGCCGCACTCCGCGGGAGAGTGAGAGTGCACGCGCATCGGGTGTGGTCGGTGGAGATAGCGGAACTTCCTCGGATGGGATGTTGTTGGAGGGTGGGGGGGTGTCGCCCAGCGAGTTAGAGGTCGATGCAGACCAGGACGCACCCACCTATACAGGCACGGGCGCGGGCTGGGACAAACACAGTACCGTCAACGTACACGAACAAGAGGCGCTGGAAAGTGCCGGGGAGATGAGTGTGGCGGATAATGACAACTTCGACGCCATCTGGAGTGCCCGAGTGAAGGATGTGGTGGAGCATATGCGGGTCGTAGCGGAGGGGCTGGTGCGCAAGAGTGGCAAGCAGCGGTTTGAGGACAGCTTAGAGCATTCCGAGCGCAAACAAGTGTTGGGTCGCAAGTATTCCGTCCATAATATGGGTGCGTGGTTGGTGGCCGGGCGGAGTGTGGCGGAGGCTTGGAGAGATCAGGCAGGCGATCTGTTCACGGGTTTGGTCGTGAACGCGACGGTGCAGTGTATGATGGTGTTACAGGATGCGGAGCTGCTGGGTGAGTTGCATATAGACGGTGTTGTGAGTGAGAATCTGAATGACCTGCACATGCTGAGTGCCGGCGGAGGCATGCACGGCCAGGAATTGAAAAACATCCCAGAAAAAGGTGAATAAATAGTAGTGAGAGAACATTCTGAAAGGGATGGGTATAAGTGGTGGATGCACCGGTACAGTATAGGATGGTGGCTCAGCATGCGGAGTTGTTAGGTGAGTTGCAAAATCAAGCGGTAGTGGATAAAAATCCTACTCTGAATGATCTGCGCATGCTGAGTGCTGGTATGGGGGACGCGTGCTGGCAGGGGCTTGCGCTGCTAGGAGTTGCAGAACATCCCGGAAACGGATGAAGAACTCAATATTGGGCGAAAACGTATGGAAGTGATGCGTATATGAGCTATATGAATAGAGAAACTTAACGTCCGGACGTCCGGATTTAAACCATGGGTCTCGGAAACGGGCACATCTAAATAATGGGCGAAAAGGTATGGAAGTGGTTCGTATATGACCTGTGTGAATTCATGAACCCAATATCCGGACATACGGATAACAACCATGGAACCCGGGAACGGGTATACAACTAAATAATGGGCGAAAAAGTATGAAAGTGATGCTTGGATGAGCTATATGAAAGGAGAAACTTAACGTCCGGGCATCCGGATAATAACCATGGAATGGATGTAATTTATTTTGATCCTGCAGTCTCTTTTACGGATGTGCCTGGCTGTAAGTACTGATATTCGAGGCGGTGCCACCATACTTTTTACTATAGAAGTGTGTGAAGCAGTCTATATCAATAAGCTGCCGATGTACACACCGTGTGTTTATAACGTGTGTTAAACAGACTACATGAATAAGTTGCAATGCACACTCTCCCTGTGCGTATATCATTTGTGAAACAGAAAACATGAATAGATTGTCGATTTCCCCCCCCGCCCCCCGGGCATGCGCCATCGTCGTCACGCCACCCCAGTTGATTGAGAAAAAGACATCGTCCGTAGGTATAACCGGCAGAAGACTGGGGATTCACGTCGATCAAGACTAAGTTAAGTTGCTTCTAGATATAGCAAAGTCGTGAAATCGCATGTGAAGGACAGATGTTGTATACAGGAACGCCCTTCGGTTGTTTGTAGTCGTTCTATCGACTTTTTGTAGACTGCGAGTAGACACATAGCGCTGAACACTGTGGTACCCGGATATGGTTGGTTTCAAGAGCCCCAAACGCGCACGAGTATAAATCAGAACACATTGTATACACGGTCGAAACGGTCAGCATCTGTTTAGCGTGATCATCTGTATGTTCAAGATTGTGGTATGGCTATATCACTGTCACTATGGAGACTGCGTGCACACAGCAAAATAACCAATCGTAAAGGTTGATCGCACATATGAACACACAGTCACTTGGCTGAAAATAGTACTTTCCTTGCTTAGGTATTTAATATTAACTGGCTGTCATCTGATTAAATACTTTTTTTGTTCAGGATGTATGATTCGCTACATGTTTGCGGCAAAGGACTCGGTTCCCGCCCAGAGACTTGCTAATAATGGATTCATTTTTTCGTGGTAGCTGATGTTGATCGCATGGCCATGGTCTGTGGAGAAAGTGTCAAAGGAACACGGATTATATATATATGTGCATATATATTACATATATATATATATATATATATATATATATATATATATATATATATATATATATATATATATATATATAGATATATATATATATATATATATATATATATATATATATATATATATATATATATATATATATATATATATATATATATATATATAACTATATTATATATTACTATATATATACTAAGTTATAATNTACTAATATAATAGTATTAGTTNTATATATTAGTATATTAT